TCTTGCTTATGTCTTCCTTTTGGAAAAGGCATGTCTATTCTCTGCTTTTCTAACCATTGTGTTTTGGAAGCACATAACTTTTTTGATTTCCCAGGCTCACAGTTGAAGGAAAATTTGTCTCAGGATGAATTGTGCCTTGAGTTTCATTCACATCTGATCTAAATGAGACTTTATGGTTTTGGGAGGTGGGGCCCAATAGGGGGTGTTCAGGTCATGACATCTCTGCCTTCATGAATGAATAAATGCCACTATTAAAAAGACTTCTGGGAATGGGTTCACTCTCTTCAGCTCTTCTACCATGTGAGAAACAGTTTTTCCCCCCCTCTCAAGGATATAGCATTCAAAGTGTCATCTTGGAAGCAATGATGGAGTCCTTGTCAGACAACAAATCTGTGAGATCTTGATATTGGACTTCCCAGCCTCCATAGTTGCAAGAAACAAATGTCTATTTGTTTGTAAATTGCCCAGTGTGTGGTATTCTGGTATAGCAACAAGACAACAAACTAAAACATCTCTCAAGAAACTAGAAAAAGAAGAACCAATTAAACGCAAAGTTAGTACAAGAAAGAAAATCAGAAAAAATAAAGCAGAAATATACAAAATGGAGAGTAGGAAAAAAACAGAAAAAAATCAACAAAACTAAGAGTTGGTTTTTCAAAATGATAGACACAAACTTTTAGCTATACTAAGAAAAAAAATGGAGAAGACTCAAAATATAAAGTAAGAAATGAAAAAGCCAACAGTACAACAGATACTTCTAACACCACAATAAATGGGAAAGAAAAGCACCTTGAACATTTCCCCCCTAAGATCTGGTATAATGTAAAGATGTCTACTCTCACCACTTCTATTAAACATAGTAGTAGAACTTATGGCCAAAGAAATTGAACAAGAAAAAGAAATAAATATAATAAAAATTGGAAAGGAAGATGTTACACTGTCCATGTTTGCAGGTGACATGCCTATATACATAGAATATACAAAAATCTGTTAGAGTTAATAAAAAAATCAATAAAATCATAGCATATGAAATCAGTCTACAAAAATAAGTCTCATTACTACAGAAAAATAATAAACATCTAAAAAGGAAATAAAGACCATTCTATTCACAGTAACTTCTTCTGCAGACCAGCATCTTTTAGCTTCTCCCTTCTACCTCACATCCTAAGGACTCTGGCTGTCTGGGGATATACCACAGGGAGGACATCTGTCCCGGAGAAACATAGACTTCTAATCTTACCTCATCTACTCATTTTCTGTGAGATGTTGGGGAATATCTTATACATTTATATATTCTATTCACTACATCATAAAAAAAACTTCCTTATATAATAATGATTAACTGGGATGAAGATACTCTATGTACAACATACTTATATAACTATTTTTATATATGTGCATATGTATTTATGTGTATATGTATATATATGTATATATGCCTGCAGGTGCTCTGTGTCTCTTTTAGTGTATATTTATATGCCATTCCCAGGCCAAGCACTTTCTTTTTCATTCTACTAGGAAAGGCTATTCCCCTCTGTATCTACAGACCTGTAAATTGATATGAGATCTGTGTAATACTCTGCCTTTGTTTTTACAAATAAGGTCTCACTCTGTCACCCAGGCTGCGGTTCAGTGGCATGGTCACAGGTCCTGCAGCCTCAAACTCTTGGAGTCAAGCAATCTTCCCACTTCAGCTTCCTAAGTAGCTAGGACTATAGGCATACACTACTACACCGGGTTAATTTGTTATTTTTGTAGATATGGGATCTGGCTATGTTGCCCAGCTGGTCTTAATTCCTGACCTCAAGCAATCTTTCTGCCTTGGTCATCCAAAGTGCTGGGATTATAGGTGTGAGCCACCATGCTCAGCATCTGACCTAATGCATACGTCTCTTTTAAAAAAGTTTATAACTTTGTTATCCTGGCTACCTCTGTTGCTCATCCTGAGTTTGAAATTAGCTTTTTAAAAAAGAAAAAAAAATACACACATACACACACACACACACACACACACACACACACACACACACACACACAGTATAAGATGATAAATACAGTGGCATATTCAAGTGTTTTACCAAAAGAAAGAGTTCTAAACATCAAAAGGGTAACCCTTATAACAACAGCTTTTCCTAGGCATGGCTACATTTATAGAACAGGTTATAGAGAATCATATTTTTGCTATTTTCTAATCCATTCCCATAAAGGGTCCCCAAAATAGTCAAAATGTATTAATGACCTAAACAAAGTCCTAAAACAATAAAATTTCTAAAAGAAACATAATGAAGGTTGGAAACTCAGAAGAAGGAGAGTGAGCAGAGATGAAAAAAATCACCTATTGGGAACAATGTATGCTAGTGGAGGTAACAGGTACACTTAAGACTCAGATTTCTTCACTACTATGCAAAGCATCCATGTAACCAAAAACCATTTACATCCCTGAAGCTGTTGAAATTAAATAATAATAATAATAATAATAATAATAATAATAACAAAAGAGCTCTTTGACACTGGTCTTGGCAATGAAGTTTTTGGATATGACCCCAAAAGCACAAACAGCAAAAACAAAAATAAGTGAGGCTACATCAAACTAAAACGCTTCTGTATAGCAAAGGAAATAATAAACAGACTAAAGACAGTCTACAGAGTGTGAGAAAATATTTGCAAATCACATATCAGATAAGAGGTTTATATCTAAAAATATATGAGAAGCACACACAACAAGAAAAAAGCAAATAAATGAAAAATGAACAAATGATTCTAATAGACATTTCTCCAAAGAAGATATAAAAGTGACCCACAGGTACATGAAAAGTGCTCAACATCAGTAATCATCAGGAAAATGCAAATTAAAACCACAATGAGGTGTCACCTTAAACCTGTTAGAATGGTATTTTTTAAATGACAAAAGATAAAATGTATTGATGAGGATATAGAAAAAAAGGAACTCTTGTACACTGTTGGTAGAAATGTAAATTTGTGCAGACTTTGTGGAAAACAATATGGACGTTTCTAAAGAAATTGAAAATAGAACTACCATATGACTCAACAATCCCTCTTCTGGGTATATACCCAAAGGAAATAAAATTATCACCTTGTAAAGATATTTGGACTCCCATGTTCACTGCACATAGGATTCACAACAACCAAGATATAAAATATAATTCACAACAGCTAAGATATAGAAACAACAGAAGTGGTAGTCAACAGATGAATGGAAAAAGAAGTTGTGGCATTTATATATATATGTGTGTGTGTGTGTGTGTGTATACACACACACAATATAGTATTATTCAACCTTAAAATAGGAGATCACGCATTTGTGAAACCATGAATGAACTTAGAGAACATTTTGTTAAATGAAATAAGCCAGAGAGAAAAGCAAAAATACTGCATGATCTATCTCACTTACATGTGGAATCTTCAAAAATGATAATATTTGAATATACAGAATAGAGTAGAAAGCTGGTTACCAGGGGTATATGTGGTGGAGTTGGGGGGAGGAGGTTGGAATGGGGAAGCATAAGTCAAAGTGCACAAAAATGCAATTTTCTCAGGTGGATGAGTCTAGGGATCTAGTATACAGTATGAGGACTATAGTCAATAATATTGTATTGTATACTGGGATTTTGCCAAAAAAGTAGATATTAGATATGCTTGCCATGAACACAAAAGGTAACTATAAAATATGAAGGATATGTGAATTTATTTGACTGCAGTAATCACTTCATTATGTGTGTGTATGTATTTTTTTGTATATAAACATCATGTTGTATATCTTAAATACACAAAATAAAATATGAAAAAACAGTCCCACTCTGAGTATAAAAGTTTCTATCAAATAAAACTAGAACTGGTGTGATCTAGACAGCAGAGTCTGGGAACTTAAAAAATGAAATGTCAATAAAATCAGCAACTATTTTTCTGAAGGGCACAGAACTGTTGCACAGAATATTAACACAGCTTACACTTTTCCATAATCATGAGAGCAAATATTTATTATTATGTACAAGACACTGAAAGATGCTTTACACTTAGTGACATTTCGTTTTACACAATGACCTTAAGAGTTAAGTGCAGTTTTAAATCTCAGTTTGCATTTTAGAAAAAAGAAACTGAGAATGTATTCATAATTACACAAATTATAAAGAAAACAGTTTGAACTCAAACACTCTGGACACCATGGATATATATATTGCTTATTTTTTCCTCTTCTCAGCTCCTTGATTATTCTGAGGTATTCTGGGCAACAAACTAACAAACATTCAAAAGACTCCTTAGCTGATGGTGGTGGTGGTTACAAGGGTGATTCCTATGTACTGTCCCAGATAACATAGATGGTGGTAAACAGGCTTACAGGGTTCTCCAAGTCTCTTTAGATCAGTGATAAAGAAAACTATGGAGAAATGGGAGGGCAAGGATGTTATACCAATGCTTCCCTGTTTTTGTTTTGTGTTTTGAGTTGGAGTCTTACTCTGTCACCCAGGCTGTAGTATGGTAGCATGCTCATGGCCACCCCAGCATCCACCTGCTGGGTTCAGGTGATTCTTTCACCTCAGCCTTCCAATTAGCCAGAACTATAGGCGTGCGATACCACACGTGGCTAATTTTTTGATTTATTGTAGAGCTAAGTTGCCCAGGCTGTTCTCGAACCCATGGGCTCAGGCAATCGGCTCATCTCAGCCTCCCAAAGTGCTGAGATTACAGATTCAAGCCACAGCACCCAGCCCTCTGGTTTTTTGTTGTTGTTGTTGTTTGTTTTGTTTGGGGTTTTTTATAGATATCTTTCTTTGAAAACATAAAAAAGTAAATGAGTAAATAACCATCTCTGGAAACTTGAGCCAAATACACAGTATATCCTAAAAGTGAGTAGAAGTTCTAAAGTAAGGAAGAGAGACTATAAGGAAGAAATGGTCAGAATGGTGGGAATGAACTCAGATACGGGAGATGACCCTTAAGACTAGGGGTACTACAAGAAGTAGGTGAAGGAATTAGGAAATTCAGGAGCTTGGAGGGCATAGAATCATAGGGACTGGACAGTTCCAAGGATTGAAATACGGATAAGTAGGCTGAGAAAAGCAACATTTAGAGAACTTGTAGATGAGTGACCCATTGTTTGTGACATTGAAAAATGAGACACTGCCTGCTTCATGGTCTAGGAAAACCCCAACACGATGAGGAAGCACAGCCATGGAGAGAGTCAAAATCTTAGGAACAATGGAGGAAGAGTCCTCAAAGGCACTGTACTTAAGTTTATTCTGTAGCCCTATAACCCAGTAGCCAAATAGAGGTCTGTATTTGAAGTAAACATTTTGATGATTTGTACCTCTTCCGAAACCAAACTTTATATTATGGGAACGTGTTCTACAGTATACCCCCAGAATCCAGGCAGTCTTGTTGGACACATCTATTTCCCAGTAATGTTTCCCTGAAGAGAAATATTGGGATCCCAAGATACCATAATTATAATACTTAACAGGCCAAATTGGTACAGATATAACTTGTCTCTGATCTTCTGAAAGGGCAAGATTTATACTTAGGTTGACTGAATTCAGTGTGACGTCCACTGCAAAAAAAGAAGAAAATTGTGTGTATACACAACACATACATGCATATGACAGACACTGTGTACTTGGGAAGTGACTGGGGAAAAATTGTATTGATTAATTGGGTGAGGGGAAGAAACACGCTATACATATGTGTTAGGAGGTATAGAGAACATGTGAGGCTAGGATTATAAGATCTCAGTGAAACCACAAACACTTGAAAGGTGATCAGAATACAGTAATGTAAAGCCCTTGTAACTTATTCTTACCCCAGTAGCATCGGGCATCTGTTAGCTCTGAAATGATAAAAGATTCAATGGTTGGTTAGACATAAAGGAATAAGCACTGACATCCTACTCTTCTTTAGTGTAGTTGCAGGGGAGGGGAGTACTGTGAAGTTGTGACCAGTGAATAAGCAGATGCTATCTAGCTATTTTATTCTCTCCATCATAGAATATCCCTTCTTCTCTGACCTCCTTTCTCTTTTCTAGCCACACTTTTAAACTATATCAGCTACCTAGTTTGCTCCCTGACACCACAAGAACTTTCTCTGTCCTTTCTTACCTCTAAACATTTGCAGCATCCTACTCAGATCTGGAGCTCGGAATATAGTCTTCAGCTTCTTAGAAACAGTTTTTGGCTTTTTTAGTGTCCAGATTTCACTCCTGAGGAATGACAAAAAATTTTGATGCCCACACCTCTCATCTTGGGTCCATCCCTCCAACACCACTGCCTTTCTTTTCTTCCACATCATGATGTTTCCAGGTGGGTTGACAACTTTAGACACAAGGACTCCACTTTTCCATATGATCTTCTAAAGTATGAATGAGAAGGAATTAATTATTGACACCAGGGTCAAAGCCACAGTCTACAGGACTCAGGTCTGCTTTTAGAAATCTACAGAGAGCCGGGCTCGGTGGCCCAGCCTGTAATCCTGCGCCTTGGGAGGCTGAGGCGAGTGGATTGCCTGAGCCCGCGGGTTCGAGACCCACCTGGGAAACTTGGCAAGACCTCATCTCTACAACAAATAAAAAAAAAAATCAGCTGGGTGTGGTTACGCATGCCTGTAATTCCAGCTACTGGGAAGGCTGAGGCGGAATGATTGCCGGAGCCCAGAAGGTGGAGGCTGCAGTGGCTGGGAGCGGCCACTGCACTCTAGTCTGGGCGACAGAGTGAGACTCCAACTCAAAAAAAAAAAAAAGAAATCTAAAGAGAACTTTGTAGAATGACTTAATCTCTTCTATTCTTCTGTGAGCAAAGTAACTATAAAGGAGTTGTCCCCATGCCCTATTTTAGGACTTGACAAGGTCTTTTATATAATATGACAAGCACCTAAACAAAAAATCCAGAATGGGATGCAGGGACAGAGGGTGAATTACATAAGTGAAGTCACAAAAGTTGATAGTAAAAGCGCTCATCCCTAATATCCTTTCTGGCTCTAACTCTGACCTTCAACCAATTTGGTCTTTTCTGAATAGATATAAAACACTCAAATCCTCATCTGTGACCTGCATTTTAAGATAATACTACATCCAAATTTTCTTACTCTAGGAGATTTTTATTCTGATCAACAGCCAAATAACTCTAATAGCTACCAACCCTTCTCCATAGCATAAAAGCGCTACTCCTGGCCACTCATACGCACCATTTCATGATTCCACTCATGTCCTAAGAAGAAGAGAAAAAACATCAGTCAAAGTATGTAAATATTGGAGCAATACTGAAGACAGAAGGAATAGAAAAACAATAGAAAAAAATCACAGAAATAAAATGTGAGTTATCTGAAAATATCAACAAAATTGATAAGCTTTTAGCTAGATACGTCAATAACAAATCAGGAATTAAAAAAATGGAACATTACCACCAATCTTACCAAAATTAAAAGAATCATAAAAACTATGAACAGTTGTATACCAACAAACTAGATAAACTAGATCAAATAGACAAATCCCTAGAAATACAGAAACTACCAATACTAATTAAAGAACACATAGAAAATATGAATGAACCTAAAACATGTAAAGAGATTGAATTGGAAATACAAGATTTCCTGTAAAGAAAAAGCAAGACCCAGTAGGCTTCACTGGCAAATTCTGCTAATTTTTAAAAAAATCAATACTTCACAAATTATTTTTTTTTAAAAAGTAGAAGGAACATTTCCTAATTCATCACATGGGGCTCATCCTACCCTGATAATAAAACCAGAGACTTCACAAGAAAAGAAAACTATAGACCGATATTCTTTATAAATATAACATAAAATTATTCAACAAAATACTAGAAAATAAAATCCTGCAAAATATTTAAATATATACATCAAGGTCAAGTAACATTTATCCCAGAAATACAAGGTTGGTTCAACATAAGAAAATCAATCAATTTAATATACCATATCAAAAGAATAAAGAATAAAAACCACATGTTGATCTTAAAAGACATGAAAAAAATTGACAAATTTCAACGTATTTTTATAATCAAAGCAAAAGAGAAATAGTAACAAACTAGGAATAAAAGAAAGCCTATTCCTCAGCTAGATAAAGGACATCTATGAAAAACTCAGGTAATAGTAATATCTACTTCATGGTGAAAAACTGAATGCTTTTGTCCATAGATCAGGAAAAAGACAAGAATGTACGCTCTCATTACTTTTATTTAACATGACACAGGAAGTTCTAGACAGAAAGTTAGTCACATGAAAGAAATAAAAGTTGGCCAGGCACAGTGGCTCAAGCCTGTAATCCCAGCGCTTTGGGAGACCAAGGCAAGAGCTCAGGCGTTCGATACCAGCCTGGGCAACCTGGTGAGACCTCATCTCTACAATAAATAATAAAGTTAGCCGGGTGTGGTAGTGCACGCCTGTAGTTCCAGCTATTTGAAAGGCTGAGGCAGAAGGATCTCCTGAGCCCAGTAAGTCAAGGCTGCGGTAGCTGTGAGCATGCCACTGCACAACAGTCTGGGCGACAGAGTGAGACTCCCACTCAAAAAAGAAAGAAAGAAAGAAATGTCATCTATACTGGAAATAAAAATATAAATCTTACTCTACTTGCAGATGACATGGTCTTATGTATAGAAAACTGCTCTATCCACTGCCTGTAGGTGACCTCTTACAATCTTAATTTTAACTTACACATAAATGTTGTTGATTTCAAACTTTACATTTCTAATCATCTTCTCTTGTCTCTCATCACGTTTCTGGGATAATACATTCCACAAATAAGAAGGAATAGTGGTCAGCAACTGAGATCCTATCTAAAATACAAACTATTATTCTCCAATCATATTGTTTCCTCTTTTATGCTCAATTGTAAAAAATATTACCATTATTCACTCAGTCCCTGTCCCAGACACTAAAACATCTTATTAGGCTAATTCCATCCACCTCTTTAACTTCTGTTAGCCATCCTCATTTCTCAGTCATCTTTATTATGGATTCGTTTTGACTAAGATGTACCAATATATGCAGACTTACTCCTTCATGACACAGCTGGGTGTACAACCAAATAAATGATTTTGCTCTTTGTATTAGTATAGTTTGGTTGTACATGACAAAAAACAAAACCAAAAACAAACAACAACAACAATAAAAAACAACCAAAAATCAGAATTGCCTTAGCTGGAAATAGAAGAGTTGTGACCAGAGAAATACTACTTTAGTCACAGATGGCTCTGGAAACAACTTCCTATCACAGTTCTGGCCTCTTTTTGCCTATTAATTCTCTTTTCTTTCCTAATTTTAACTTTATTCTTAGACTTCAGTTAATAGCAACTTGAATCTTTGGATTTGAATTATCATCACTGATATTACTTTCTACAAGCAAGGATAATTTTCCTTCACTACAATGACAATACAATTCTGGAACCTGTAAGCATCAAGATCAGGTCATATGTCTAACTTAAAATAATCACTGTGTAATTTGTGGAAAGGTAGACATTGAATAGGTTAATTTAAATATGACTAACTCATCCATCCTGGATTTTTCTGATTTTCTTACTACCAAACAAGTACAAAAATGGAAACAGACCATGCTAAAGTTTTCTCAAAAAGTAATTCCAGATATTGTTAGCAGAAAAACAGGGAATGGATATTTAGCAGATGAAAATAATTGGTGCCATCTTCAGTCCATCATTTACTGCCTACCATCTCATCATCCATCACTCCATCACAAAATTTCAAAAGTAAAAATGACCAAACACAATAAAACTACTTCAGAAAGCATTAACAATAAAAGTATCTCCTTTGAAAGGAAGAGAATCTAAAATCATATCTGATTTTTGCATCAACTTTCAAGCTCAGAATTTCTCTGTCTAGATCATTCTTCCCAGTAAGTGCTGAACTATAGTCCTTCTGCAAGAACAACAGCCCCTCTGCAAACAAATTATATATATATATATATATATATATATATATATATATATATATATATATATATGATGACATGATCTATCCCAATCATTACAATAAGGATCTAGATAGAAGAAAAGCTGATATAGAAACTCTCAGGAGATATGACGAGGAAGTATCACAAATAAAACTGCCTATATCTTAACATGTTGGAGGGGAATAGCTAAAGACCCTAATCAGATTAAAAAATAATAATAATAAATTTCTTGGTTGTCTGTCTGCTGTTCTTTGAAACTAAGATCTAGATGTAAAATGCTAATTCCACAAAATTTATAATTTTTGATCTACTAATTTTTTTTTTTTTATTGCAAGTAACCAAATACTAACTCAAACTAGTTTGAATAGAACAGATGCCTGGACAAGTGTCATAAACACAATATTTGTCTTTTGTGAAGATGGCAATTCAAAGGCTGTGAAGAACTTATGGAGAAGGTATACAAAAGGGCCTAGAACCTTTTTGCCTTTGTTTTTACTGAGATATAATTCAAATACCATAAAAATCACCTTTTATTGTGCACAACTTAATAGGTTTTGATATGCTTACAATGTTGTACAACCCTTACTTATTTTCAGAACACTCTTATTTAATTCAGCCTTACTTAATTTAATTACCTTATTTAATTGCATTGTATTTAATTTCAGAACATTTTCATCACTCCAAAAAAGAAACTGTTCTCATTAGCAATCACTTTTAATTTATCTTTCCCCAGAGTCCTGGAAACTACTAATTTAATTTCTGTCTGTATGGATTTGACGTATATAAACTTTCATATAAATGGAATTGTACAAAAAGAAATTTTGTGTCTGCCTTCTTATGATTATCATAATATTTTAAGGTTCATACATATTGTAGCATGTATTATCATGTTCTTCCTTTTATAGCCAAATAATATTACATTGTTTGTATATAACACATTTCATTTATCCATTCATTAGTAAAGCAGGCTTAGTTGTTTTAATTTTTGAGCTATTATGAACAATATGCTATGACTTCCATATACAGTAAGTCTCCTGCATACGAACCTTCAAGTTGTGAACTTTCAAAGATGTGAACTTGCATTTGCATGTCCAATCACGTGAATTAAAAAATTTTTTGTTTGCTTTATTTTTTGCTTTAATTCTTCCTTTATTTTATTTTTTGCTTTATTTTTTGTATTTTTAATGTACTATTTATGTGAAAAGTATTATAAACCTATTACAGTATAGTACTATATAACTGGTTGTGTTAGTTGGGTACCTAGGCTAACTTTGTTGAACTTCATGAAAAAAATTGTACTTACAAATGAGCTCTCAGGTTGAAACTCATTTGTATGTAGGGGACTTACTGTATAAGTTTATGCATGTATATGTTTTCAATTCTCCTAGATATATGCATATGATTGGTATTGCTGGGCCATGTAGGAACTCTATCTTTAAGTTTTGAAAACTGCCAAGCAGTTTTCCAAAGTAGCTTCACTATTTTACTTCCTTACCAGCAATTCATAAAGATTTCAATTTCCTCATATTTTCCTTGATGCATGGTATTGTTTATCTTTTCTATTATAACCGTCCTAATGTGTAGGAAGTATTTCATTATGACTTTGATTTTTTATTTCCCTGATGGCAAGTGATGTTAAGCAGTTTTTTATGAGCTTACTGGCCATTTATATATCTTCTTAGGAAAACTTGTGTATTCAAGTACTTTACCCATTTTTAAACTGGGTTACTTGTCTTTTTATTTTTGAGTTGTAAGATATAGAAAAGTAGGTAGATAGATAAACTGGAGGCTAGACCTTATCAAGTATATGATTTGAAAATATTTCCTTCTACTCTGTGAAATGTAGAGTAGAAGACACTTTGTTCATAGTGTTCTTTGTGGCACAACAGTTTTTAATTTTTATTAATTTTAATTTACTTTTTTTGTTACTTTAGCTTTTGGTATCATATCTATGAAACTATTGCCCAATCCAAAGTTATATACATTTTATTCTAAGAGTGTTTTATATATTTTTTGCTTTTACATTTAGTTTTATGATCTTGTTTGTGTTCATTTTTGTATGTGGTATGAAGTACGGGTTCAACTTCATTCTTTTGTATATAGCTATCCAGTTGTCCCAGCTGAAGTTGTTGAAAAGACCTATCAGTTTTTACCCAAATTTATTTTGTGTTACAATCACTTGGAGGACCTGGTAAAAGTACTCAGGCTTGAATCCTGTCTTATTACAACAGGCCTGAGTATCCAAAGTCTTTATAAAGCACTCCAGGTAATTCTATTACACTAAGAAAATATGTTTACAAACTTCTGTTCCAGAGTAATCTGAAATAAGACAAGAAGATAAGAAGTAACAGGAATAAAAAGAAGCTGAGATGCAAGTACCAGAAACAAAGAAAACAATTCGACAAATAAAAATCAGTTGTCTTCCTACTTGGTACCAAAATTTTAACAATAAATGTCTGGTGATTCAGCAGAGAAAGGGAAGCCCATAGACAAGAAGTCAAGCAAAAATGCTTTGAAGAAAAATGTTGCTTACATTTTAACTTTAATTCAAGTTGTTCCATCAAGTCTGTAGACTTGTACCAGTATTTCTTCCTGGTCAACACATAAACACATGCATACACAGCACACACACATACACACACACACACACACACACACACACACACACTCCTCAATTATATCTTTGCCTGTCCATATTTTTGCCCACCTCTCCCCCCAAATGGTTCAATATTCTATCACTCTATGTTTGAAAAAATTAACAAGAAACATTTACAATAACAAATATGCATATTTTAATTCATTTTAAACACAGAAGAAAACATTTCTTAAACCTGAAAATTAATTTGTTTGCTTGACAAATACCCAACCCAGGATCACAGATAACAGGGGCCTGTAGAATATAACTGGATACCTTGGATCTTCTCTACAAGGTTAAATATGTTCCCTTACTTTATAAATTAATCAGAATGGGACACGGCTCTAGAATGCCTATATTCATTGATAAGAATAGAATTGATAAGAATAGACAATGCAAGGCCAAAGGAACCCCTTAGTATCACCACCGGGATAAGAGCCCCAGGACACAGAAGAAAGGGTAATAGAATGTTTTTCCAGAATTTTATATTGCATGATCCTTCTTACCTGCAGCAGCTCCATTGCTGACCATTGACCTCGACGCTCCATATCTGAAATGAGCTCCTTCACCAAATGCCTCTGCTCAACTATTTCATCCTCAGCATCTGCCAAGTTATCCAGAGTTGTCTTCTCCTCTTCTTCCAATCTTTGCAGTGCTCTTTGCTCCTCACTGTTCAGGATGCCTCTAAGCTGCTTAAATTCTTTTTGTATCCTTTGTCTCTCAGTTTGCACCTGATACTGCAAGAATGGACAAGAGAAGGGGTAATAAGTCTGTCAGGTTGAGTCCCTACTGTGCGAGGGATTAGAAGACAGGGAAAGAAATATTTTTCAGGGAGTTTGAACCAGTAGGGGAGTAGACACAAGAGAGGAATTTTGGGGTAAGCTGTTTTTCCCTTCAGCACTTGCCAAAACAGTGACCTAATACTGTCTTATCTAGGCCAACTCTGAGAAAAATGTAAAATCCAGGGTTTAGTTTATAGACAGCTCTCCAGGACACTCATGTGACTTCCTTAATTATTATACTCCCAATCTGAACCTTGAGGGACATCTTGGTCCTTTGTCTAGGGTCTTTCACCAGAGGTGTCAGATCTACATTGGAAAAGAGCAATAGAACACAGTACTTTCTAGCCTTCCTCACAATACAGTCCATCTTTGTTCTCAGTTCTAAACATCTGTGTGTACTTGTAATATGCTCACTTTTCAGACCCCACAGAGACAATACAAGGGATAGAACTAAACAAATGACTTCAGGACTCATCCAGTGTCAGGGAACAAAGAGGAAGAAGCTGCCTTGGATTAAGACCAGGGGTCCTGCCAAGACTTCTGTCTCAGAAATTCTTCAGAAAGTATCTCCTCTTGCCTTCCAGGAAGTTCTCTCTTCTCTGATGTCAGCTTCCAACTTCTCAGCTTCCTCATGCTCTTTCCTCAGCCTCTTGAGAATTGCCTGGAGCTTCTCCTGTGAGAAAGGAATCACAGCAGAGTCAACTATGAGCTTTCTCAGCACCTGACTAGAGGACAAACAAGAAAGAAATCAGGTTGGTCCTAGAAAGACCAGTTTACAAAAACTGTGAGGCTGGTGAATAGAATTTATGATATGGAGAAAAATCTGAGGTGGTGAATGTATTTCTTATTCCTGGGTGATGGAACACTACCCTTTCACCAAGAGTAGTCTAATTCTTTCTATCCTTAAAGTACCCACCCTGCAGAAAGAAAAGTCCTTTCCTCTTATCAATGCTCTTTTCTCATTCAATCCACAATGTTCTGTATTGTCTTGCTGAGAGGAGGAATGAGTGCTAACCTTGGGAGGGACTTCACCAACCACACAATGAAAAAAAGGGAAAAAACACTCTCACTCTTGGTCAAGAGACTGTACTCTAGATGCATTCTTTATGTAGATAGAATGAATACACAGGATTGTATTCCATGCATTGGAAGCGGAGCACTGGGTAAAAGACATACACAGAAAAGACACAGAACTCAGAAGTGTGGTGCCAAAGGGGTAGAGAAGGATGGAAAGTTGATGTTTCTCAAGTCCATCTTCTGTCCCATCTCCTTCCATCCAGGGCCCTACCTGACATTCCTTGACTATTTCCTCCGTGAGGAACGTGTGGTGACCACGGTGCTCCTGAGACCACTCACAAAACCGGCAAATGATCTTTCTATCCTCCTTGCAGAAGAGTAGGCATTTTTCTCCATGGCGATCACAGAGATCGCTTATCTTCCCATCATTTGGGCTCAACTTGACCTTTCTGAGTTGTTCCACTATCTTGGCCAGATGCTGATTTGTCTGTAGATTTCTAACTGAGTATCTGATACCACATACAAGACAGTTGCTTTCCCCTTCTTGACCAATCATTGCCTTCTTGTTGTTCACAGTGATGCAGGCTTGACATAAGCTGTGGCCACAGACTAGACTCAAAGGTTCTGTCAAAAGTTCCAGGCAGATGGGACAGGTCACCTCCTTCTTTATGTCAGGTAGGATTTCTGAAGCCATTGCACTTCTTTGGCTTCTTTATATCCTAACTCCGGAGGCGTTCTCTTCTTGTTTAAAAATTCCTAGATGGCTGAACAGATTGAAAGGGGATGGTGTAAAACTTGTACAAATAAAAAGGATTCTAATTGCACACACATAAAAGACTAGCCAAGATTGCAATGTTGAAGGACAAAAAAGAAGAGGGAGACTAACCATAAATGGAATCCTGGGACCTTCTTAAGCCATGAATGCCTCATGGCTTTTTCACTTGCTCACTGCTCAGCATGGAATGACCCCCCTGTTGATATTTGTATGACTTTTGCTTATACTTCATTCAACTCTCTCCTTTCTATCATCAGAACGACCTGATCTGATTAACTTATCTATAGGACAACCACAAAACCATCACTTGGTGTACATTTGCCATCTCTTTCTTATTATCACCATATATGACCTCTATCTTTAAATATCTACCACCTCCTTCTAAAACGTAATTCACACAGATTAGGCAGTTTTGTTTTGTCACTGTTGCATTCCTATTGTCTAGAAGATACAGAAACATACTATTTGATGATTATATGAAGAACCGCCTCATCTCTTCAGAGATGATTATCTCATTCTGATCAGTGTTTCGTTTTCTTTCCATTGCTTAAAAGTTCCTCAGAAGCGGTGCTTGGGACTCTAGATATTGTTTCTAGTAAAGAATTGTTTACCTCCTAATACACCTACCCACATAGGATCCTCCCATGCCCCCACTCACTTCCTAGAGATACCCACAGAAATAGCAATGACCACAATATGAAAATAACCTAATCACCAACAATTTCATAACCAGTTACAATTTAGAAATCAGTTAGACCTTTTCTTCCTTCTCCAAAATCCTGGAGAAAGAAGTGTTCCCTTTTTCAGATGAATAAACAGAAACAAGTGGCTTACAAAGGTCACTAAACTCAACAGGTAAAAACAGAGAAACATAACATTCTCAAGGTCCTCTTTCAAAGGTCTTCATGCTACCCCATATTTAAACAAAGACAAGCAGTAGAACCTGAAAGAAGCAGGTTGATATCCAATGCTATGAGTACATAGATGAAAAGGAATCCAGACAAGCTGGGAAGAACTGAAGGAGGTCTTGTATTTGTAGATGATGCAATTTCATCTTGGCCTAGAAATATGCCAAGGATGTTGATAGGAGCCTGAAGATGTGTATTTGTAGGGAGGAGGAAATGGTACACTTAAATCATGGATTCATATCCATGTCAGATAACCTAGAAATAGAAATATCAATGAGATGGCTGTTGGTTGTGGAAGAGAAATCTCAATATATAATGTAAGGCTACATTTTAGAGGGAGGAAGTTCTGTTCTTTGTTAAATCCACATCCACTAATTGAATGACAATTATTCATTTATTCTTTCAGGAAATTCTCACTGAAGACAGATTATCTTCAGTGATTAAAATCCAGGAAATGGAGTAAAATCCAAAGTTGAGTGTAAACAGGTAGCGTTAGTCATAATAAAGTTAATAGCCATCTAAAGAAGATAGAAGTGAATTAAATAATTATTTATAAAAGTATAAAATGGCAGATATAATAAACACTATTATACAGAGCTATATGATTTTGGGAAATCAAATAATTTGCCAAAAAGAAGACTATTCAAGAGTTCAATTGAAAGCTAGGTGTTGAGAAGGGAAAATGGAATGAGAATTTAATAAAATATTTTAGATAAAAGGAATCACATATTAGAATGCCCTGTTGATAGAGGACACAGCATAAAAAGTTTTCTCAAGTTTTAAAGTGTGTGGTGGGTATGCACAAAGCATTAGGCCTTTGGCATTACATGAACCTGTGGAGACCTGGATATGTGACACTTCTCAAATGATGTTAAAGTTAGGGTCTCCTCCCAATTAACAGAGAGCAGGGGCAATGAAAAGATGATGTAGGACAAGTTAATGTTGGAAATAGAAGCAGATGAGAACAGAAACAGGGTGAGGTAAAAGAAGCAAGATTGGGAGTCAGACAGGCTGTGTGGAAAAAAGGGTTTCATTAGGCTTAAGTCCTTTCTTCCTGTAAAAAGGACAATGGCATTGCCTTCCCCTAGTATTTTATTTCATTATTTTTTAGTAAGCACAGATCTCAGCTTCCACAAAAGGGTTGTGACTCTTGTAACAAAATATTCACTGTAGGGCTGTGGAAGCCACATTCATGGCCCTTACAAGGTAATCTGTTGGGGTAGGATTTACCTAAACTGCTTCAATTCCACACACAATCCTTTTGTCTTGTTCTCTTAAAAATGACTTGTTACCAGAGGGATGACAGTCCTCCAATATCACCATGGCAAAAATCCTCTAAAAGCTTACATGAAGCAGCCATGCCAACATGCTGTGTCTCTTGTCCTGTATTTTCCTGTGAAGTTTAAATTGCCTATGTGGGAATGGTAAACCAAACCTGAAACTATTGCTTGTGGTCAGTCGAAGGATACATCACGGAGTAGTGGCATGGTGAATCAATACTAACTCTCATAACCTGAACTCAGTTGAGACAAAGGGGAAAAAAAGGTAGATCTCAGCAGATATTAACATCTAATACTTGTCTAGTAAATTGAATTGTATTTCACACAAAAATATGTTCACCTGTGAATGTGACCTAATTTGGAAATCAGGTCTTTGTAGATGTAATCAAGTCAAAATGAGCTCAAACTGGATTAGGAGGGGCCACTAAATCCAATGTCCTGTGTCCTCATAAGAAGAGAGACACACAGACATACAAGAAAGAAACCATTGTGACAACAGAGAAAGATATGGAGTAATATAGATATAAGCCAAGGAATGCCAAGGATTGCCAGAAGCCACCAAAAGCTAGGGAAGAGGCAAAGAACAGAACAAACCTTCCCTTACAGTCCTTGAAGGAACCGTCTGCCACCACCTTGATTTTTGCATTTCTGGACCCTTGAATTGTGAGACAATAAACTACTATTTTTTGAAGCCATCTACTGAGTGATAAGCTAACTGAAAAGTTTTGATAGTGAAAGAAAGATCTGTTATATGTGACAACGTGTAAATCTTCCCTGCCCTAGCTCTGGAAAAGAAAGGGTAGGGCATAATAAAAGCTGAATGGAGATCTTCTGTTCATCTCTTTAAACATCAGAGAGAAGATTCCAGTTCTTGCAAGATAGAAAACCAAAACTGTAGAATAGGAAGGTGGTGAAAAATAAGATCCTTTCAGAAAACAAAAAAGGCCTTCTGTCTCTTTAACATTCCTTTGAAGGCTGTCTCTCCCCAGGTTCCAGGCTGCAGCTCCTCTGCACACACAGCAGGAAGCCAGCAATTGACTTTTCCTCCCCTCAGAGAAGAGCAGCCACAGAGCCATAAGCTAAATTCACCTGACTTCCTTTAGAATTTTCTTCCCATCTTCTACCCATACCCCTCCCCCACAAACCTCCTCACACACCTTCAGACCAACAGAGCTCCGGGTTGAAGTGGTGAAGAAAAGCCAGGGGCAGACGTGGCCGAAAGAGCGGCTTCTGTGTGAATAAAATCCTCCCTTCTGAGGAGGAGCTAGCTGAGAAATGAAAGTGAAATTCCTGGGGATAGCAGGAAGAGGAAAGGGGAAGAAAGAATCTTCTAGAAGAAATGACTTGCACTCCTTTAGGGTCTCTGGACAGAAGGTAGTGCTTTAACCCAGTGTTACTCAAGGAGAGAAGAGAGGATTTGCATTGGAGGGGACATTTGACAACAACTGAAGAGATATTTAGTTCTTAAAACCAGGGTATGCTACTGGCACCTGATGGGTGGAGTCCAGGAATTCTGTTAACCATTGTACTAGTACAGGGTAGTTCCCAAAACAAAGGATTACCCAGTCCAAAATGTCAATAGTGCTGAGTTTGAGAAGTCCTGTTTTAATCCTCTCTGCTGCCCAGGTCAGCTGGATCCTAGCACCTCCTGTCCTACCATAATTCATGGCTGTGAATGGCCCCTTGAACCATTCTATCAATTTTAATCCACTTTTACCTTCAATGTTCCATTTGCCACATCCACCAACCCCCAAGCACTACGTCACCTTCTAGGAGATGGGGGATGGGTGGAAGAGGGCTGGATCCTATGAGAAAGGTTAGCTACCAAGGACTTAGGGAATTTTTTGGAGGGCTGGAAATGTTCTAAATCCTGATTGTGTGGTAGGTACACAGGTTTAAAACTTTTTCAAAACTCATAAAACTTCATGAGTTTTTCAAAACTCATAAAACTGTAAAGTAGGAAGCTAGGGTGGTGAGACAGAAGGCTAGGCTAGGGTCTTGGGCTGAAAAAAAAATCTGATAGACAATGAAAGTTAAACCACGCCTTGGTTACCGCCCTGACCGCACCTGTACCGCCCCCCAAAAGCAGAACTTGTGGTCAACACATCCTGGAGGGAGAAGGAACTAGGGTGCATTGGGGAATCCCCCAAAACAGCACATGCTCAAATATATAAATCCATGTCCTCTCAATGACCCCTTAAGTTTATTATACCATTATTATAATATTTGGATGTGGTTTAGCCCCACCCCCCAGGGCTTTTGTGGCGGATTATGGGTAAGAGCATGCATAGTTTTATAGTTACACAAGAACACAAAATGCCAATCATAACTGTCAATCATTAGGAAAAGACCAACCACTCCCCCTCTCTATAGAAATAAAAGATTACAAATTTTGGGAAATAGGGTCTAGGGAGCCACTTGTACTCTTGAGCCGGCTCCTAACTCTGTGGAGTCTATTGCCTTTATTGTTTAATAAACCACTCTTTGCTTTTGCAATAGGTGTGTTTTGTCCAATTCTTTGTTCCAGACATCATGAACCTAGACATTTCATTTTGGTAAGTCGATGGTCCTGCAACAGGTGTTTATTTTTGCACATCACATGTACCTCAATAACATTGATTATAATAAAAATATGTTTTCTAGGTGACTCTTATGTAAATCTGAGGCTGAGAACCACTGGCTTTACGTGGTAGATCAAAACTTTTGGGCCCTGGACATACAGGTCTACGCT